GCCAAAGGCAACTGGTCAAAGGTCTCAGGATTGCTGACCTACTGACTTCCCTGCCTTCCTTCTTCCCTTCTTTCCTCCCTCCTCCCCCCCCACCTTTTTTTGTCTCCTGCTTTCTGTCTTCTTAGCATGTTACAGCGTACTTGCAGAATCCCTGTAAAGGGGTTTATTGTAACCTTTTATAATAGATCATAAGTATTTTTAATGTCAATATATTTACCTCTACAGCATCACTTTAAACAGCTACTTAACTATGTGGACTATGCTATAATTTATTTAACTGATTTCCTAATGGGGGAAATTCTGGTTCTTTTCCAGCTTTTTTTTTTTTTTTGCTGTTATAAATCATACAGGTCAGTGGCCTGTTGAAATCTACTACTCAGCTATTTCCTGCTTGTCCATTCACCTATTTATCTCTTCAAGGAATTCTTGGTATGGTATGAAATGGTCTGGTCTGACATTCCCTTTTAGAACTACATTACCCAGCAAGGCATTTAAATAAATTTACAAACTTTGCTATAATAGGGTAAGGATAGTGCCTAAAACCTTGGATTCTGAACTCAGCATACCTGGATTTGAATCCCAGCATTGCCAGTTGCTACCTGTGTGACTTTGGGCAAGATATTTAACCTTTTTGTATTTTGGTTCCTTCCCCTATGATACAGCGATGATTATACCATCTCATAGTGTTGTGAGGATTTAGGAAATTATGTATCCAAGGGACACAGAAGAGTAGCATCTAGTGCACAGTCAATACTAACTCTTGGTATTAGTGCCCTTTTTTTTAAAAAAAGATTTATGTACTTATGCATACAAGAACTGGGTATAGGCCAGAGGTGTGCAGGATGAGAGGATTCACCAGAGACAGAGTGGGGAACAAAACAGATAGATTGACTGAAATACACTGCTAGGGGAGCAGTGGGCGAGTCAGGAGAGGTCTGCTGCACCATGTGGGTAGCTCCCTGGCCAGGGCTCGAACTTGTGTTGCAGTGGCTACAGATAGCTTCCTTCATAGGTTGCGTCTTAACCCTTTGCGCCACCAGGGAGGCCCAATAATAGTGCCTTTTTTACTTACACTACTAAACCAAATATTCTACCAAAATATAGCTGCAGAGAAAACTTACTTTCTGACAAAAAAATACTGAGAGCAGAAAAACAGGAATACAGTGATCTCAAGAGAGTGAAGCACATGTTATAAAAACTATGGTCAAATGTTATTATGTGGCCAAGTATAAAAATTTATAATATGGTAGAGTTGAGGAACTAGACACTGTCAGAGGTATCTCACTACACCTCACTTCAGTGGGTAAATATAAGCGCCAACCATCCACACCAATCACCTATCTTTCAAGTTATGTGTTCAGGTACATGTAGGCTGTCTATGATCTTCAGTCCATAGGAACTCGAACTGAAAAGCATACAATTATTTTTACCCCTTCGCTAAGATTCTTTTCTCTTGCTTCTATTCTCCTAGTAAAAATAGAGAAATGTGAAGTTTTATGTTTACATAAGCTTTTCCTAAAAAACAGTTTATGTACTCACTTGACCTCCTAAGGGAGCCTTTTCTGAAAACAGGTCTTCACTATGCAGCGGGCTTCCAACAGCTGGGAGACCCCTCAGTGGGAGTAGTGACTAGGTATGAACTTGGGAACTATTTTGGGGAGATATGAAAATGCAGGGAATTTAGGGTCAATCGTTCACTCTTAACTGCTAGAGGAGTGTATCAGAAACATCTGCATTAAGCATTTTTCTGCATTTTAATTATTAGTCCAAGTCCTTGGTTGATAAAAAGTAAATTTGACAATAAGTCAAATGTTTGAATGTAAGACCAAGCATTTTTCTTATCTAAAGAAGCTCTTTGGTCTCTACACTAAGAACAAAATTGCATGTCAAAAGGCCTGATCTTCATTCTCCATTATATATCGGGCTAATTGAGTTCCAGAAAGGGTAAAGCAATTCAGTTATTTCATTTAGGCAGAAATTCTTAACCATTTCTGCTTTGTCCCTGTTCTGGCAGTTAGAAGAAGGGGCACTCCAGGACCTTTAAACCTGCCTGCTCTAAATAAATTCTGCCATCTGTCACATCAAGACAAAATATACCCCAGTGTGTAAGACCTTCAATGGAAAATAACTTTGATATAATTAATTTGCAATAAAGGGAAGAGAAAGAATATAGCTAAAAATTTCCCCATGAAGCACCAAAAATTACCTTCGTGGGTAAATAACCAGCCAAACAAGGTTGGCCCAAAGTGGAGCCACTGAGCCCCAAAAGCTTGCTACAAGTCTAAGGCACCTTCTATTGGGGAAGGGAGAGAAAGGGCCAGGCAAGTCTGGAAAGAAAGGAGCAAATATAAGTCAATACAAATCAAGGAAATGGCTGCCATTGTCAGCCTCTGCACAGGTCTCTCACTCACATCTCTTCTAAATGTCTTCTTCCATGTACCCCAGGTCCCTTGTACAAGTGCAAGGTTGAGAAGCAAGTGCAACTTCTTCACATGTCTCTCTGCTTTGGGTGCCTACTGCAGGTCTTTCCTTTCTGCATCTCTCTCTTCTTAGTCTTCTTCCTCCTCTTCCCAGTCTTTTCTAGCTTCTCTTCCCTACCTAGCTCTACTGTCCTTAGAATGGGCAGGGAAAGTGAAACATCCCCTTTCTCTGAGGATTACACTTTACACGTGGTCCACCTTGTACTTATGCTACTATTATGTGGGATATTATGTGGCCAAAGCCCAGTGAGACTGAGTAATGTCAAGTGGTCACTCAGCTAATCAGCAGGCATGTATCTTAAAATGCTTTCTTGTAAACTTGCATTCCTCCTTCATGGAATGTCTATAGAATATATACTTTATGATCAAATTAGAGAGAAGAAATTAGTTTCTAAAGAAAAATCAAGAAGGAAGAATTGATTAACTTTTGCTTTTAAGCTGATATTATTTATTTAAAAAATTATGGACACTGAAACCACAAAATGCTTTTACTCCAGAGAACAAGCATATCTTAGGAATAATAGTGATTTCCAAAACTCCAGAATTTCTGCTAATTATTCAAGGAAAGTACAAATAGAGAAATGCTATTATTTTTTCCAGTCTTATGAAGTAGATACAGTGCTCTTCAAGGATTACAGATGGGAGTGTGAATATGTTGCCTTAATATTAACCATCATGACAGAATCAGTACACTCCTTCTGTGGAATATTATATAGTCACTAAAAATGAAATAGCTCTACTATATGTGTACTGACATGGAAGTTTACCTATGATAAATTATTTAGAACAACAGTGTGCAGAGCACTATTCAGAGTATGATTTAATTTTTGTAAAAAGTAACAAAATCTTCAAATAAGCATAAGAATCTCGGTAACTACTTCATTAAAAACTAGAACATATTTCAGCTGTTAACCAAGGGTTCCCCAAGGTATTAAGAATAAAGAAGATAGAATGATGGCAAGGGTGAGGGGGCTTACTTTTAATTTTTTTCACATCTGTATTGTCTAGAATTCTTTTCATAAACATTATTATAAAATTTTATGTTAGAACCGTAAGTTAGAATCCTTGTATCAGAAATGAATCTCTGTGTCTAGTGGCTTGAAATCTATTCTCTGCATATGATATCAGCAAATAGTGCAAATGACAAGTGTCCCTTCACTTGGAAGAAACTTCTTTAAAATAACAATATAAATCATCTTTCGTTTGTAAACATGTCACAAATTATAGAAGAGAGGTAAAAATAGAATCCAAGTCTCCTATATGATGGAAATCATTACATCTTATTTGAATGGGCTTATAGTAACAGTGGAAGGGAAATGTGTATACAATTTATAACAATGCTGAAAGTATACAAATATTTTCAGAACAACATGAGAAAGATCTACTGCTGCTGTGTTATGATACTAGCATCCTTGATATTGATGGTCATCTCTACACCTTCCTTATCAAGAACTCCATCTCAATGTAGAGGAGACTAATTTCTACAAAAGTGAATCCATGAAACATATTTGTATTGAAAAATTAATGTGTGCATTGCTCTAGATACAGGGTAGGGGGAGAGACACAAAGATAAACAGGAGCCAAGAATTGCCTTGTCTTTCTTATAAACTCATGGGAGAGCTGAGGTGGTCCACAGACTCGAGAATGCAATGTGGAATGCAGTAAGCACACAAGACACTGCAAAGTAAACCAGGACTGTGGGATAGAGTGGCCGGATGGTCCACTCCAAAGGGAAGTGCTTTGTTTTGAGAATAACAAAGATGTAAAATCATGTAAGCAGAAGAAAAGAGTCAGTATGGAGAGGTGATAAATAAGGTGATAATAAGGTGGCCCTGACAGAAACCTGAAGAGAGCCCAGGAGAGAGGTTGGCCATTAGGAGGAAGGATGTTACCCAAACAGCATAAAAGAATAAAGAGAGCATGTGTGGGGAGGCAGAGACACTCCAAGCTGAAGGAAAAGGAAGCTGAAGGAGCCCACTTACAGCAACTTTGACTTGTTCAGTCTGGTGAGAAGCTACCTCATTGACAGAGAGCAAAAGAGAATTGGTGAGTCGGGGAGTTGAAGAAAGATCTGGAATAGCCAGGTGAATAATGTCAGTCAACCAGGAATGAGGAAAAGGACTGTGGAGCATCACTAAGGTCCCAGCTGAGGATGAAGAGCCATGAGATTTTCATGAAAAAGTTTTTTCATTCCTTTATCTAGCAATGTGGCAGTTAGACACAGGAGTAAAGAACTTTAGCTTGGATAGAATGTATGATTTATAGAATAGAATAACTCCTATGTTGAAATCTGCTTGTGAAAATTCATTGGAAATCAGTCAAATAATTGCATCATTTCAGATTTTGCTGTCAATTGTCTTTTTTCCCTTACGTTTATAGTCAAATCAGCTAACTCTATTTCCATAAAGAAGTGGGAACACTGACCTGCTCTCCCGGTGTTATCCATGCAACACATGCTTTTAGAATTTTTAATGTTTCTAGCTCATAGTTGATTCTCATCCATTATGTACTTTTAGGCTGGAAGAACTAATAACAACCTTTTTGGAAGACCAGGATCCAGAGAGTAGATTAGAGGTTGGAGCTGATATGCGAAAAATTCATCACTGTTTCCATTATTTAAAGGTAAATTTAAGCATATCCTCTCATTTTAGCCATTGTCACCCCTGTTCAAACTGCAATAAACCTGCGATAAACAACTCTTGAAAGGTTAGGACCCAGTGTCCCCCATCCAGAAGGGTGAGATCTTCAACTAATGCCACAATTACCACTACATTTCTTCAGAGACTGACCTTACTTCCCAATGAATAAGGTCAGACCCTGAATTTCTAATTCTTTCGCCAGAAATCTCTACCTTCTACACAGAATAGTCCCATATTCAAAACACTTTATTTTCAAGTTACATCAAAAGATTTATGTCATTTCTTTTTTTCCAGCAGTTTTGGGTTATCCCTATATTTCCTTAGTTTTTCCCTGCCTTAAGTTTTACTATTCATGAATGACACAGTAGAAATATCTTTACCCATTACTTCTACCTCACCTGTAACCTGACAGACTGCACCACGATAATGAACATTTGTTGGGAGTCTGCTATGGGTCAAGCATTGGTTAGGCAAAGATAAATAAGTCATGGAGAAGGCAGATTTGTAAAGATTAATTATAAAGCATTGTTAGCATTAATTTGGAAAATGTGTTGTCCCAACCCGAAGGATTCGGAGGCATGAAAAGAGAAGGGCTGAGAATTGAAATGCGGGGCTTGACAACTTGACGCTAGCGTTTGCTTCTTTATTTTTCCTTTTCCTTCTCTTTTACTTTTCCCTGTCTTTCTACCTTCCCTGACCTTCGCTCTGCTCCTCTCGCAGCGCTCTCCTCTCTCGTAGTTCTCCTCTTAAATCTCTTTTCTTCTTCCCCTCTCTCTCCCGCGTTCTCCTCTTATACCCTCGTAGCTCCTCCCCCGTACCTCCCAGTCTCATGTGCTTTACAGGAAAAACCTGTGGTTCTCCGAAGGCCAAAGGGTAAAGCGAACTCATGGCACGCATATGCAACACGGCACATACTCCGGACGGCTCCCGACAATGTGTGAAATAAGTTGTGTGGGATTATGGAGAAAGGGAAAGAATTCTAACAGAAGAGCATATTTGAGCAGGAATTTCCCCACCTTAGGGAAGGAGAGATCATAGAATGGAGGAGGTGGTGGAAGTACAGGTGGGATGGGAAGACACACCAAAGACAACTGCATTGCAAAGACCTGGAGGCAGAACAGTGCGTGCAGATCTGACTTGTGTAGGAACGGTGAAAGCGGATAGAGTCACACACAGAAATTTGGAAGAGAGATACAGACATTAAGCTCTGATTTTGTCTTTTAGAAGCTACTGAATGACAAGAAGATCCACGTAAAGAGCCCAGTCTGCTCTGAAATCAAAACTCAAAACTGCCAAGAACCATTAAAAGAGGAAGAATATAAAAAGCTACGAGATATTCTACAGCAGAGAGATAACGAAATCAGTATCCTTTCTGAAATGATGAGAAACTCTCCCTCTTCTGGCTTGAGCCTGCGTGTGGGATCCCTCTCCTAGCCACCGCCCCTGGCTCCCCACCCTGCTTCCGGTGCTCCTTACTTCTTTCCATTTAGGAGAAAAATGTCCCTGCAGCAAACACAAAGTGGTGAAAAACAAAGTTGCTATAAAAGAAAAATGTCCTTCTTTTTTAGTCAAGTAGAGTTATGTTGTGGTGGAATATTGCAGTTGATTGAAAAATATGGCCGTTTTTTACATCATATCTTAACAAATTAAATGATATGTGTGTATGTGCCTGCACACACACACACACCTTTTTTGTTTCCACTACTTTGCAGTGCTCTTTCTGTTTGAGTCCTGAGCCTGAAAGTTAGCTGGTTATCTTTAGCTAACTGACCGGACATTGGGCTGACCGCAGTCTCACCGTGGCCCAGAATTTGTGGCTGGTGTGTGGGTGAAACTCAGAAGATGATTGAAAAAAAAAATTTTTGTTAAAGATGAGTGGTATTTAGCTTATGAAGAGCAGAGATTGATTTAAATTTAACTTTTTATTTAAAAGCCAGATCTACCGCTTTGGGTTCTTCTTACAAATGTTCCCAAATTTGGAAGCGAGTACATATGATACAATTTTTACCAGCTTTGGAGACAGTGTGTTCTGGGTACCCACAGAGGCAGGAGCTCTGGGAGCTGCCTCCAGTTACAGACAAGGTGGTGGCTTCTAAAGAGTCTCTATTGGGTGTGTTAGACCTCAATAATTCTTATAAAAGAAGTGACTTTTTCGTTACATTCTCAGACTTTAACGATGCACAAAAATTATTTTGGTCAGTTCCTTATGAACATGTTTTTGCTCATGTTTTAAAATCACTAAAAGGCATGTTTGTTTCAGCTAATGTGCAAAATGCATAAAAAATAACTTACGTGAAGGAAAACGGGTAATGAAGAGGTAAAAACAAACCAAAGATGAGGCAGGCACACTGCCTGATTAACTTCAGTCTCTAATTTTAGTTGAGAATTAACAGACCCTCTATGTCTGATTCAAGTGAGTTTTAACTGCTTTATTATTCAGCCAGTAACAGTAGATTCAGATGTGATTTATACTCCCTTTGACAAAGGCCCTTGTCTCTGGTGCAGCACACAGGCCTGTCACTCCTGCATTCCTGCTCCTCTCTCTTACCCAATTCATCTCCAGGGATGGTCCCAGCTTAGACCTCAGTCCTGGCCCCAACCCCAGGCTGAGTTCTGCTTCTTTTCCTGGCCTTGCTCCTAGTTTAGAATCTTCTCCCTTAAACACTCCTACCAACTTCTTAATCCCCTTCTGGGTTTATGTATGTCTGTGCATAGTAGAGAAGGAATGAAATGAGATATGACAGAGAAGGAACAGTCTAGGCCTGTTCCTACATGTTTATTTTAAAAAGAGTGAGAGAGATAAATACATCATCCCCCTTCTTCATTGGTAAATGCAGGTATCACTGTTCCCGTGGGGCTACGTGAGATTCTTCACTGACTGTGAATAACTCAAGTGAAGTACCCTCTTCTGAGACTAGTATTCAAAATGATGGTGTGTAGGAGACATGGTGAAGAGAGCACTGAATTTGAAGTTCACACCTGGGCTGAAATCCCAACTCTTCATTCATTAGCTCTACAACTGCTCCCTGAAGCAGCTTCCTGCTCATCAGCAGACAGAGCCTAGGACCTGCCCTGCCTACTTCACAGGGCCAAGCAAAGCCAGAGAGGCTATTCATGGGCAAGTGCTTTGAGCTCCATGGAGTGTTATAAAATGGAAGATATGACTCTGTAGTTAATGGGTAAACTGAGAAGGAGGAAAAATAGCAGCTCAGATTCACTCCTAACAGCTTACATGTATTATAGGCTAATCACCAAGAGAAGATCCTGAAATTTCATAGTTCCTCACAGTTCTTTTTTGTAGAACCCAGAAGGTTAAGTCTGAGACAGGAGCAATGAGAAAGATATGGGTTAGATTAAAAAAAAAAAAAAAAAAAAAAAGATAATGCTTGAACTCAACAAAAACTTGAACGTAATGCAACAGAATGACAATAAATGACATCGATTTTTTTTTTTTTTGGAAAGGGAGGAGAAAAGGTGTCATTTCAATGACATTATCAGTTTGAATAAGTTCAGGCACCTCTTCACAAAGCATATAATGGTAGCAGTTAGTACCCAACACAGCGCTTGACTTGAGCAGGAGCCCAGGTTACATGAGAAAGGGAAGAAGACAAAGAAAGGCAGATGAAAACGAAGGCAGCAAAGATGATTTTGTATTGTGAGCTTTGTGAAATGTAAATCAGAACACATCATTTCTCTGATTTAAATCTTCCAGGGCTTCCTATTAGAATAAAATTCAAACTCCTTACTCTAGACTATGAGGCCCCAGGTTGTCTTGCCCGGCCCCCTACCCTTGTATGTCTTAGCCTTCTGTCCTTTGTATGTTAAACTTCAGTCACAGTGACCTCTTTGCTATTCTTCTAACACAGGGATTCTCAACCTCAGCATTGCTGACATTTTGAGGCTGTATAATTCTTTATTGCCAGAGCTGTCCTATGCATAGTAGGATGTTTAGCAGCAAGTCCTGCCTCTACCCACTGGATTTCATAACAGCAACTACCTCTCTCCCCACCCCCACCCCAGTACGACAACCAAAAATGTCTCCAGACATGACCCAATATCCCCTGAATGGTAATATATTCCCTGTTTGGGACCCTTAGGGGCTTAGCACTAGCCATTTTTTCTGCTGGGATGTTCTTCCTCTAGCTGGTTCTTGTCATTCAGATCTCAGCTTCAGTGTCATACTCAAGAAGACCGTCCTTAAGCACTCAGTGTAGAGTAGCCACTCAATCACTCTTGACTTTTTAAAATAAGTTATCTGGCACTTTCTAATATTATATATGCACATGTGCATGAGAACTATCTTTCTCAGTAGGACATCTGCTTCATGCGAGCAAGAGACTAGTCTACCTTTTCATTGTGCCATCCCTGTGCCTACAACAGTGCCTGGCAATAGCACCAATAAATACCATGGATCATGAATATTGCTACCACAGTGTTTAAACCAGATAGACTGTATGATGCTATTGATAATTCCATGCAAAGAAGAGTGGGAGGTCTTGAAAGATAGGCTTGTCTCCATCAGCTCAGTGCCTCGACACTTACAGAAGCTGTGAACACATTTGGTAAGGAGAAGTTTATTTAGAACAAAGTGGACACCATATCAGGAATTGTGCATTAAAAAACTGATTATGCTTCTAGAAATCACCAGAAGGTTAGAAGCAAAGCTGAAGAAGAAGATGGAGTTGGAATGATTTCTGTGTTACTTGCTCAACATTAAATGTGGCTGACACCTCCCCTCCCTCTGAGTTGCTGTCTTCTCACCCATACCATCCTCATGTTGCTCAGAGGCCTATCTTAATGCAGCTAGCTTTAGCAGTGGGAAAGGCCTTGAATTCCTCTTACCGTGTGTGCAGTAAATTCTGAGATTTTCAAGAGGGAGTATCAACTTTCCTCTTAGTGATGATACTATTAGAGTTCTAAGCATCTCGAACCTGAGTGAGCAGTGAAGTAGGGTAGAGGGATGCTCTCAGTTATCATTGGTGCTCCTAGTATAGTAACTGACTTTAAGTTCCATTTGAATGTGCTGTAAATAAGTATGTGTTGGCCATGGGGGCATACATTGACCACCAGGACTGATTTGGTGGTCTTCCAACTCGGCAGGCTTCAGAATCCTCTCTCTCCAACTCCTGAGCAGCTTCCTGAATGAAGGTCTTATCTACCCACAGGTGTATGCAAAACTCCATTGCCTACTACTTGGTATTTGTTTACTTTTTATAAGCTCTTTCATAAAAAGTTTAAGGTGTAACTGGTTTAAACTCAGAATATTTTGTTGTTCTTTTTTTTTGTTTGATTTGGTTTGGTTTTTGCATAGAAGAACTTGGGTGTAGGCCAGAGATACAGGTGGTGAGCAGATTCACCAGAGACAGAGTGGGAGCAGAACAGGCAGATTTACTGAAAGACACTGCTAAGAGGAGCAATGGGAAGACAGGAGAGGTCTGCTGCTCCGTATGTGGGTTAGCTCCTTGGCCAGGGATCGAACTCAGGCCATAGCAGTGATAGTGCTGATTCTTAATCCTTAGGTCACCTGGGAAGTCCTTAAACTCAGAATATTTTAAAGGCCTTTAGATTTGCTAATTTTTCATATAAGATGCCATATTTAAAAACTAATAGCTTCCTGAACTTCTGGAAGTTGAAGTCTCCCTTTAGTCAGTCACAAATATCAAGTCATATTCAGATTATTCTCATTTGAAACATCACTGTTCTGTTCATTATCATTGAGCATGAGTCACTAAATCCTTAAGTCAAGTTTCAGATATTCTGGTCAATATGTTAAAGAAGGAAAAGAAGAAAACTCAGGATGCACTCCACTTATCTAGTATGGACAGAAGTGAATGTAGACATTCACAGAGCTCACCTTTCCCACCTGGGAACCCAGAAGGTCCGAGAATTTTGCTTCCATCACCTCCCACACAATCCCAGGATGGCCCCTTCGCATACAGATCCAGTCTACTCAACAGAAAAACAGGTCAGTTGACTAAGTTTCTAGTATTTCTCATAATGAATTTCAACATAGCATCCTTTAGTTTTAAATATGCACATATGAAGGCTCCAACAATTTATTTGGTAGAATTATCTCTTATACATTATCAAATCTTTCAGTGAAATAATCATTTCCAGAATTGATGACTGAACTGAAAATAGAAAGTATGAATTGTCAGTATTCATAGAATACTGACAGAATGAGATGGGCAGAATGAGATGGGTCTAGAGCAATGGCTGAAAAGTTGACTTTGGAGTAAAAGAATAAGAACCTCCCTCTTGTTACAGGAAGGGAAGAATAAAGACAGATGTTGCATTACTGATGTGATGACACTCATTTCTAAATAGAAATGAGCTATCTGTAGCAAAATAATTTCAAAGTATTGTCACAGTCTGCCTTAAAGGACAAAAACTATGCAAAACTTTGTAAGATAATAGGCTTTAACATGGTTAGACCAACTCAGCGGTACCTTCTTGGTCTGTAGCTTTTCCTCACTGAAACTGCAGCTCCACAGTGGGAGCCCAGGTGCATTGGTGTTGGGCTATTAGACCATCAGAGCCCAGTGTACAGTCAGGATGCAGTGACTGATACCTTTACCTTGAAGACACTGAGTAATATAATGTGTGGAATGTGCTAGAACAAAGGGGTGAAGAGCTTCCTTTACTGTCAACATAGGTTGAAATTGTATATATTTATTGGAATGGACAATCTGACACGCACGATTTTCTAAAAAAATTTACTTGGGAACAATTAAAAGAGTATGAAGCGCATTAAAAAGGAACCTTTTGGTTAATAAACACAGGACTGAGAAGCATGGAAAAAAATATGTTTTGTGCTATTATATCCTTGGCTTCTTAATTTCCTGAAATCTCCTGCTTTGAATAGTTCTTAGCAAACAGTAGTCTAATAGTCAAAATCCCATGAAACCCAAAATTGCTATTTTTTATTAACCATTTATCATGGTGACAGCAGGCAAGGGAAAAGCAATTATTTCTCTCTGTGATTATTTACATACAGCATTTCTATAAGCTGCTCTGATAACAGCTGGTTTTGGGGAGAGAGCAAGAGGCCCTCAGGGTTGTTCAATTCATTAGTTCATCCATCAGTTTATTCATTGCTTTACATTCATCCTCTACATTATCCAATAAGTGATCCTTTAACATATATTTGCTGAGTATGCCCTTTGTTTTAGATACTTTGATTCTTCTTGTTATTACAATTATTATTACTATTGCTAAAGCTTACAAAGACCTCATATATGCCAGGTACTATTCAAAGTTCTTTGCTTGAATTAACTCATCAATCTTTATCCTCAAGTACTTGTTTTACCACCATATTACAAATGGTGATATACATGGACAAACACAGCCTCTGACCTCAGAGCATTTAGAGACTGACAGAGAAGAGAATCTTGAACAATTAATGACAAAAGCTCACCTCTGTACGGCTGAGGAGAACATACCAGGGAACCTTAGCTCAAGAAAGACCCAAAGAAGACCATGAAAATGGAAGTGGGCATAGAAGGAATATTGCAAGCAGAAGGAATTATTTGAACAACTTTCAAGGCTTTGTGGTGGAAAGGAATATTTTAGGATATGAAAAAGACGGTATGGTTGGATTCTGGGAAGTGGGAAGCTAGCAGGTTGAGGAATATGTGGAGGCCAGATTGGTAGAGGACACAAAGATTGTGTGACCAGTAAGAAGGCCACTGTGGCATAGCGGTCCAAGCCAAAGGGTGGCGATGATGTCAGAGAAGAGGAGGATCAGAAATATTTAGGAGATAGAGTGACCAGGGCTTGTTGACTAAATGATGTGAGGATAAAGGTAAGGATTGGCTTCCAGGTCTTTGGGCGGTTAGTGAGGCTTTTCATAGAGGCAAGGAAAAGGGCCTCCCTAGCCCTGCAACACTTGGCGTTGTTGACTATACAGAACACAGTACTGTATCACTGTTAAAATGAAAGGTCACTCTTGGTTCCCAAGTTTAACCCTATGCCCATGAGAGAGGGAACTCTGCTTGCCGGCCCACTGTATGCCTGCACAAACAGCCTTGACCTCAATACTCAAGCCCCTGCCATGTGCTGGAACTTTTATACTTATATTTTCTCTTGCCCATACCATCTTCCTTTTCATAACTCTTCTTCCCCACAGCACCTCATAACTTCTCCTCATAGTCAACTTTTTTAGTAACTCATTTCTTCCCTTGTTATTGAATCAGAATAGTTTAGCTTGGAAAATGAATTAAGTTTACTTTAATAGAAAATCACTGGAAAAATAATGGAAATTGTTTGTAAAGTCCAAGTACAAATGAGGTAAAAGAGTTTTGGAGAAAAGCCTTATAGTTGAAAGGGTTTTTGAGTTGTTTTAACTGACATTGGATATAGTTCTAGCAATAACTTTAAATAGGAGTAGGCTCACAAATGAATTGATAATGATCTAACCATTTGGAGGAGAGATTGATGGGGGATTGATTTTATTCTTTGGCAAAACTACAGATAAGATGAAAATTGCTACGGATGAATCAATGCTTCAAAGCAACAGGTAATGGGATAGTTTATTACAATGTTTAAGATTGTAGGAGCTGATTAGGCTTTTATTATTGCATTATTTTATATAGAAGAGGTTTGTGTAAGCTAAATCAAATACAAAAAAATTAATAAGCATGTTGTTTTGAAAGTATTTGTACCTTAGGTATGTGTTATCAATCTCTACTAACCACCCCTGGGGCCATATTTAATGCAGAAAGAAAGTAAATCAGACTATCTTCTACTCTGAGACTGTTGTGAAATGTCTCTCCCCTTCGATGACCCCCTTCTTCTTCCATTCACCCCCCCCCTTTATGCTGAAAATGACTTCTTTCAAATTTCTTGTGTTAAAAGAAAATGAAACAAAATTCATGGTTCACTAGGGAGCCCAGCACGGTCTTGCTCAAGCAGTCTGGCAAGGTGGAGGAAGGCAAGGGGCTGAGGGACTTTTGTTGTTTTGGAGGCTATATGTCTGTTTTGGTTTCGTTGAAATAGAGAGGGATTGTTCAGTTCCACAGTGTGCAGAGTCATAATTTTCTATTTAAAATAATAGGAGTTTTATAGTTTGGTTTTTTGCTTTTTTGTGTTTGTTTTCTTTTTAGTTCTCTGTGCATTCCAAATGATAACCTAGAAACTTTTGGTATTCCCAAGTCCCCTGATAACTCACCAAATCCTTTTACTGTTTGAGATGCTAACATAACCCACTCATCTCAGATGCTGTCATTGGCATAATAACTGATGCCAAGGTGAGTGGAAAGTCCACAGCTTTCCATGGAGGCTTGAAGCTCCTTCCTCTTACTCGAGTTTGTTGACTCCCCACTATATGAGCGGAAGGGCCCAAGGCATGTGTTCTGGGGATACCAACAGGAACTAAGAAATGATCTCTGACACTGGGAACTTATATTGAAATGGTGAAGGCTCACTTGGCACACAAAAAACAGAAAATAAAATAATAAGTGCTATTAGCAGAAGCTAGATGAAAGGATATGGGAATTCAAACAGGAAGGAAAAATTTCAATAAGTAGTGAAGAAAAAAAACAGAACAAAAACAAACACTTGAAATCTGACTACAGAACTCAGGTTACTGGAAGGGGAGTGGGAGAGTGGGAGCAAGGGGTAGGGGGCCTCAGTGGACTATGGTGGAGTATTATTGGTGCTTTGGTGGTGAGTGCTGTCTGAGAATACTTATTTGTAGAGATATGAATGTGTATATCTAAAACATATACAGTGTTGCAAATCAATACTATCTCAATAAACATAATTTAAAATAACAAATCACAAAGAAAAAGTATTAGGTGGCCAGAGAAAGCATTATAGGATTGGTGAAATCTGGACATTCAAAAATGGATGAAAGAGCATTCTGTAACGTTCCAGGTTTAAAGAATAATATGAAACAACCTAAGTGTCCTCTGATGGATGAATGACTAATACGTTTGTGATATATGTATATGTGTATATAATACACACACACACACACATGCACACGCATACATATATACAATGGTTTCTAGTTAACAATTTAAAAAATGAATGAAATGTTGTCATTTGTATCAACATGAATGAATCTTGAAGTAGTCTTGAAAGAAGTCAATCAGAGAAAGAAAAATACAAGTGATCCCACTTCATGTGAAATCTAAAAACATAAACAGTAACAATAAGAAAAGTCCATAAAGACAATAGAATGGGTGGTTGTCAGAGTTATCTTGGGGTGGGTATAATGGATTAAGGATATAATCAAAGGTCAAAGGTATAAACTTCAGTTATAAAGTGAATTAAGTCATGGCTGATAACACTATATTTGAACGTTGCTAAGAGACTAAAACTCTTAAAACTCCTCATCACAGGAAAGTCATTATAACTATATATGGGAATAAGTATGAAATAGACTTACTGTGATTATTTCTCAATATATACAAATATCAAATGAACATGTTATATACCTGTTATATATAATGTTATATATAATGTTACATTCAATTATATCTCATTTTTAAAAAATGGGAAAATAATATGAGCAAAGGTTTGGGAACAGGAAAATAAGGAAAAATACATAGAGGTGTGCTCTGGGGAGGTATTTCTTTAACTGGGGCCTTGGAGATGTACAGGAAGTCAGAAGACTTAAGAGTAGAAATATGAAGGGGAAGTTGTGAGAAATGGCTGCTTCAGGGAGAGGGAGTAGATGGGAACTTCCCCTACTAACTTTCTATGCTTTCATATTGTTTTAACTTCTTATATTTCTTGATTGAAAAAGTAGGGCCATGTTATGAAAACCTTTGAATGCCACACCGGGGAATTTTCTTATTTGCTTGCCAAAAACCAACAAAGCAAGTGGGCATAGTGATAGTTGTGCTCTGGGGAAGTATTTCTGGAAGAAATCTTTAAGGTATATTGGAAATGAGGTGCCTGGAGAGTTGAGTAAATGGCTTAGGAAAGTCATAATATTCCAGAGTGGGAGTAATGGAAACAGAGGAGAGACATGTGAAGAGATATATATTACAAAGGAGCCCACAACAGCCCTTCATGACATAAAGGACAAATATGTTTCTTCTCCCTTTCCCTACCTTTCTAATTCTCCTGAGAAAGTAGCTATGGGGCACAGGCAAATGGGGGAGTTGGTGCTCTCTGAGAGGCTGCTTCAAACAGTGAATCAGTTCTTAGAGTTTGCTTTACTCTTGCTCAAAGGATTGCTCTCTAGACTGAAAGTTACTGTTACAAAGGTTTAATGTACCCAATCCTCCTCTAAATTGAAAGGAAAAGCACAAAGAGAAGTTAATGGAGGCAAAAC